GGGGTGGAGGGTTCACAAAGGCTTGAGAAGCACCAGCTGTGCACGAGAGCCACGCTCCCCCAGCCAGAGCCGTCTTGGGTGCCACCAAAGGCATTTTATGCTTTCAGGCAAAAATCCAGCTAGACTGCATCTAAATAGAACTTGCCACCTGGTATCTTAGCCTTGATAACTATTCTCAGCATTTTATTCAGAAGGAAAATGAAGAATGAGTGAGAGCGTGTCCCCATTTGAATTCCATCACAGTAAATATTTACTGAGAGCTTCCCAAGCCAAGACTGCACTAAGCATCTTAAATGTGTTCATTTATTTAACCATATATAGTTACCCATACATCACCCCTACGAAGCAGACTGTGGTCATCCTCCTCCTTTTACAGGTGTGTAAATGGAGGCACAGAGAGGCCAAGGCACTTGCCCAAGGCTTCCCAGCTACTAAGAGACAGAGCTGGGGTTTGAAGTCAGATTGCTGGCTCTAAGGACGACTTTGCCAAACTGCTTAGCCTGGTGGCTTATGGTCACGTTTGGTCTCTCTCAGTAGACCTGCACCCTTTTCATCACCTTCCACATCCATTCAGATGCCTGCCCATCTCTCCCTCTCCATTTTCACTGCCACCAAACAAGACCATTATCACCTCATCCCAGATTAGCAGGGAGCAGCCTCCTAACTCTTCTTATTTCTAAGCTCTTCCTTTTAACTCATTTTGCTCACCACTGCTCGTCTCCCTAAAATACTGCTGCAGAGGGTTACTCTCTTGTTCAACAACCCTTAAAGACTCCCAGTCCTCAAAGGTCAGACTCCGTATTCTGTGCCTCGTGTTCACAGCCCTCCCCCTCCCCCCTCAGTCTTGCTTTCTTACCTTATTATTCACTACTCCTTGTTCAGTCAAATTGTGCTGAAATTGACTTACTGAAATTGATTTACTTGTCATCCACTAAACATTCCCTGCGCTTTCTTGCCAGCAACTTTTTATTCCTGCTGTTCCTCCCGCCTGGAAGACCCTTGCCTTCTGATTGGGTCCATCCTTTATCTGCAGTTCACATCCCAGCTCACTGTAAGCTTCCCTGTCTGGCCTCACCCCTGACGGGCCCTGCCTTATTTTGCGGCACTTATTGTCTCAGGGGTTGTGAACGGGTGGTCTGCAGATGGGTTTTGTTCGGCCAGCCAGTGCTCAGAGAGGGAAAAAAAGAAAAGGAATTCGAAAGTTTTGGGTTGGGGCAGATGCTCTCCAATTTGCCAGACCCGTACGTTCCGAATGTTCTTACACCTCATTTTCTTCACTCACTGACGTTAGGGCTTTGGGACTTGCAGGCGCTGCGTGTGCAGCTACGTGGACAATACCGGGGAGCTTTACGCCCTCTCTTCGACTGCCACCTTACTTATAGTTTTACCATCGTAACTTCCAAGCTGCTGGTCTTCAAAGAATTCCCTGACACTTTGGATTTGTTTCTCTTCCTTTCTCATCTTTGTCAAGTATGAAATGATTCCAAAATAAACGATTTCCTGCACCAGGGAAATTATTACCCAAAGAGACTCCATGTAGTTTTG